TTCCTCTGAAAAGGTTATGCAGAGCCCTGCTTGTAATAAACTGCAGAATAAAACTGCTTCCTGTAGTGCAACACAGAGAAATGTGTTGAGAATCTTTGCTACCATAGGGTGTTCCTCAAGTGTAGGGGAAATGCCACCTCCTCACTTTTGAGAGACTGTAGCATGTCCTTGAAATTTCAATTGTGATTCCCTTGGTTAGGAAACATTTGATTTTTGTCTCTGTGGATAGTTTTTAACATACAAATGTTAATGTTAAAATAAACCAACAACACACTTGCTAAAATAAAAACAACTGTGCATGACAAACATCTACAGTTGTCATGAGCAAGCAATTCCTGGTATTGCTTGCACATGGGGAACCTTGATCTTGTAAAAAGTAAAACCGCTTACGTGTTTATACTTAAATGGGTTAAGCCCTAAGCACTGTTTAGATTTTTACTTACCTAGTTCCTGTGTGCAGGGTAGCTTCACCCTGTGTCTCACCAGCTTCAAAGCCTCACTGTGCACACAGTGGGTAGTACTGGCTTGAAGGTAAGAAATCGTTAGCAACGACCCGGAGAGCAAACTTTCAAGAGGTTTCCAAACAAAGCCCTGTGTGTGTAAACACATTGCTGTATCTGCTGAGAATGCTGCCCTAGGACTCTGTGGCTCTTACTGATTCTCAGATAACTAAAGCACTTATGTTAAGGCACTATCACTGGCTCCTAGCAGTGTTGTACTCTGCAAATTGCCCTTTTAGCAGGAGTGCTTGTGAAATTTGATAATGCTTGGTGTGAGGGTGGCAAAAGCTTAACAAGTCAGAGGACTTTGCTTCTTCTTCTGTTTCTAAAAACACTACTGCAGTGGTGTAAACACATAAGGTACCTATCCCCATCTCTTCTCCCTGATTTTGAGATCCAAAGGGCAACTAGTATAGTTACTTAGATACGTGATTGTGGTCAAAGCAGCTGTGAATATAAACATAAAAGTTTTCACTAGATGTTTACCTAATTCCCACTGTTCTGACTGCTGTGTAATCAGTTCTGCTGAATCACAACAGTGAGATTTCTGTGAGGCACGTCAGGTTGCCTAGCTTGTATCTTTTACACTAACAAGGCAGGATGTAAAATGCCTGAAAAGTTTGATTATTACAGGTCTAGCGTAACTATTGCTACCTCAATGCCACTTCTACTTCCTTCTTTTATACTGTGTTGTAGATTAGACTAAATCAGGGGAGGGACTGTTACTCTTTCATTTCACACACATGCTGAGAAATTAGTTCCAGGTTCATACGCACGTGATGATTCACGTGAAAATAGTTTTTATGTCTGACTACACAATTTCAGTCCTAAGTCACTCTATTTTACTATGGTAATCAAAATGAAATGGAGATGAATCAGGAATCTAGGCTTTAGAAACGAAGATGGTTTGAAATGTTGTCATAATATGTGAGCCCAGGAAGACGAACAGTTAGTGCCCATGTGGTTTGAAATGTTGGAATGGGAAAATACTGTCCAGAAGGGGGGACAAACCTTTCCTCTTAAACTTCTGAAGTTGTTTGCTGGGGTTAGAAAAGCATGCATCGCCTCAGAAGACAAAGGTCTTGGTTTTGTCTTTTTAATTACTTGGTTTTCTGAAGTAAGTGACTGCATTTTCAAAATTGCCCTCAAAATTAAGATAAAACTCAGTTCTCTTAATAAATGTAAACAACATGCTGGCTTACTATTAAACCATTTAGTAACAAAATCTTGCTAATTATACACTATGTCTTTTATAATTTGTGGTTTTACAACCCACACAGCATGATCCATAGTTCTAATGAGTGGCTGCCAGCCCCATGCAGCAGAAGCATGTGGTTAGACTGTTAATTGCCCAAGACTCTTCCACGATCTACACTGAATTCAAGAGATCACTGAGTTCCATTTGCTGCTGGGCTTAAATCAGTCTCTTTCTTCAAAAGATAACATTTTCAAATTTTTTTAAGTATGCAGGAAGAAATGCAATAATTTAAATTATATGACAGATACTATTTTGTAAGGTTTTCGGAAAGGCAAAGAAGGAGTAAAATGCAAGGTTTCCCCCAGGAGCCTTAGAGAGGTGGCTGGGTGGAGAAATTTTACCAGGCTCCTGGAATATCAGGTGGGGGAATGCCAACAGTGTACTTCTAAGAGTACTGTATTTGGGGAGGGTGCTTAATTCAATGTTTTCTTAATATATTTGGTGTTTGGACTGTGTTTATAATAATAGTGTGGCTTTGTGTACTGTGTATACATTTCTTCAGTCATTTTTATGACACTACAAGGCTTTAACTGAGTGTTTCAGCGTCAGTGAGGGTTTGTAATGGACTCTTAGGTTTTTTAACAAGCGAGATTAACCCACTTCACTTCATGTTCCATCCCCGTAGTCAGGAGCTGAGAGCCACTTAAAATGGCATTGAGTGAATTTGCTCACATGGAAGGCAGCACTTTCTGGTTCAGAGAAAGTCTGTACAGATCTGTGGTAGACACCTGGATTTCTGGATTGGTTAGGTTAAATGAGGAGTCACATTTGCTATGAGGAGGGAGCCTGTTCAGTCCTTCCATTAACATATTTACACTTAATACAGATCATACTGATGAAGGGCAAGTCACTGCAGGAAGACTTTGTTTTTCAGCTGGGTTGTATATAAATAACTCTATGATGTGTTTTATTGCAGAAGAATGAATTATTTGTAAATATAGACCTGCCAAAATACAAAAATGCCAAAAACCAGTCTCAAGTGAGACTTTGGTAAAAAGCTTTAGAGCAGAAAAGATGCCTCCTCCAGCTTCTCTTTGCATCATTTCATCTTCAAGAATGCATCATGTTCATAGTTACGCTATCTATTTCATTAGAGCAGGCTCACTCACTACAGTGTTTTAGAGAGCACAGTCCATAGCCTGCCCTGAGGTCAGGCAATGATATCCATTATTCTATTACGAAGAGAAACCTTTGTTATCTCCCTTTCCATTCTCTGGAAGAGGTTTTGAGAGACAGTTCCAAATGTGTCAACAAACTGAGGCAGATGGACTTCAAAAACTGAGAAATAAATCACAGGGTCATCCTGCATAGTTTTGTGTAATTACAAAAGTCATTGGCTTGTAAGGCCAGGTATGTACCTAGGGAAAATCAGCACAAGCAGTAGTTTCCCAAGAGCACAATGCCAAGGAAATTGTAGAAGGAAGAGCATCTAATTTGTCTGTCCTTTACTACTGTGGGGTTGTTTCCTGTATATCTGGAGATGTAGGGAAATATCTTGTTTATTATTATAAATACAGTATTCAAGTGTCATCAGTACAGAAAAGAAATGCTGCATCTCAGAAGACACATTTAAAGCCAAGATTTCAGACCAGACTGTTTGGATTGAATGCTGTATAATTTTTTTTCCTCATGCACATTTAATGGATAAAATTTATCCTATGCCTCTTGGGCTGTCAGTGCATTTCTAAAGACCATCATAAATGCTTCTTACTGGCTTATTTTAATGAGAAGAAAGTAAATTAAGCCTCACTATCTGTTCATTTGGAAAACATGATTTGACAGAACACAGTCTTCTGAAAGAAATACTATCTGCCCATCTCTGTGCAAGCACATACCAGTCTGTGTGTTCTCTTTTGAACCTTTTAAATAATGTACTTCTTCACCTCCTCTCTTTTTTTCCCCTCAGGGCTCACACTTGTTTCAATCGTCTGGACCTCCCCCCTTACCCATCATTCTCTATGTTATATGAAAAACTGTTGACAGCAGTTGAAGAGACAAGTACTTTTGGACTGGAGTGATACACAAACCACAGTGCCCAGCTCATTGGACTTTTGTGGATCTGTCTTCTCAAGGAATGAATGAACTTTTGTATTGGATTTCCTAGAGGAAAATTGTTTCATGGTGCAATTCAAATAATGAGGTTCCAAGAAAGAGCTTACGAAGCAATTAAAAAGCGTTGTGGTAGTGGCAGAATTCTCTACAGTGAAACTAGAGTGTGCCTGATGTGCAGGGAGAACCAAGTCTTGCAATCCATGGTTTTTCCACGCTTCTTTAATTTACGTTCTGAGCAAACAAGAAACGTGATGCCATGTTGATCAATCTGGCTACTGCAAAACTGACATGTACCCAATCACTGGATTTCATCAAAGTTGTTGAATAGAAAATTCAAGTCAAAATGTGAAATCATTCAGCCCCTTATCTACCCAGTAAATTATAAAAAAAAAAAGCATACAAATGATTTTTTTTTTTTAATTCATGAAGGTACATTACTTTATGCCATATTTTGTAAAAGCATATCCAGCACTTGCTTACCTAAGACTACGAGTGCCTGCATGGGGTGCACCATAGAGCTCAAGTTCCTGGGGCAGAAGTGAACTGGAAGGCAAGTCAGCAACAAAGGACGTAACAACAGCTTGCATTAAGGAGGTTTGTGGAAATGCATTTGCCAGTGGTGTGTATGACAAAATATGAGCTGTTACAATGAACTTAATAACTTAATAAGACTGATTTTGTGCTTTATACTGCATGGAAACTATTTTAAGAAGAAACTAGCAAATTATCACATCATATCAGGAAAAAACCCCTAACACAGTGACTTCTGTTTATTTTTATAGGTTCATTATATTATGTTTCTTAGAGTGTAAACAGGAACCAAGCAAACTAAAACGCTATTTCTGTTCTGTCACTTTCCATGCTTGAACAGACATTCTGCTAGTGTTTATTCTTTAAGCACTCTCCAGGGGAAAAAATGCCTTTTATTTTTATAAGAGTAAAAAAACTCCCGAAAATATTTTGCACTGAATGTACCAAAGTTGAAGGGACATTATGATCTGACTGATAGCAAACTACATCACTATCAAGTATCTATAAAAACGCTTAGGAACCAGGCTTTCTTCACAGTGCCATGTCTATAGATATCAGGACTGTGCACTTAAGTAATAATTTTATAATACTATATGTGATATTGTAATATGCATTTATTTTAAATGCATCTGGGTCATTTTTCATGCATTGGATAACTTAATGCAGTGGAGTTTAATACAGATATTTCATATTCTCCCCACAAATTTTTATTTGTACAGCACCATAAAACACTAGCTCATTTGGAAAACCATGAGTAACCTACTCTAAGGTGAGCCACTGGTCATAATGCCACTGTCTTGTATCAGTGAACACCTACAAGATGTAAACTGTTCGTAGTGTCCAAGCTTGCATTTTCACTGATAAATAGTTTTCTTATCAAATGTTATTTGAAACAGTTTTTATGGCATATCAAACACTGCATGGACACCAATTTCTTTATGCTTAATTTCGCTGAAATACATGAGGCTTGCTCGCATCTATTTTTGGTACTTTCCTCCAGATGGTCTTGTGGAACACTTGTGCAGCTGCACGCCATGTCTCGTACAGCTGCTGTCACTCAGTGCATCCCCACCACATTTTAAAATTCCCGAAGTTGCACTTGGATGCTGGATGACAAGAACATGAATCTGGCTTTGTGCTAGTCCTTTTGGTAGCACCGAAGCACAGCAAGCCCTGTTCTGTGGGAAAAGTAGCTTCTGAAGTAACGTTCTCACTTTGGAGACTCTTGAAAGGGTATCTCAGGGAGGTATCCTGCTTTGTTCTTGTGGGAGGTTCTTTCCAACAGATGTGAACATCTATGGAGATGTCGTCAGCAGGGACTGCCAGTCCACCCTCCAAGTCAGAAGGGAGGTGCAGCTGTGGTGGTGGCAGCAGAGACTGAGAAAACCCTTCAGAATTACTGAAAATATGTTATGCGTGCAAAGGAAAAGCAAAATCAGAGTGAAAGCATTCTTTTATTTCAAGAATAACTGAGCTTCTGCATGACATCTGGGACTCTCTTAAGTAACATAGCTTTTCTTACACTACTTCTGGCTGGTATGAAGTAGCAAAGAAAAATCCAAACATGTCACCCTCTTTCTACACATATATTTATCAGTCTTTGCTAAGATTGCATGTCACAGATCCTAATGCACATCTTTTTTCAGAACATGAATGAGCAGTAGGCAAACTGACTTTTCATCAGGTCACTCCAGCATGGCTCATGTTTCATATGATCCATTCACTGAGTAGCTAAAACTCTGGCACTCGAAGCAAAATGTTGGAAGGACTACAGAATTTTCATTTTACAATACTGTGTTATCTGTGGTCTAAAAAAGAGATTTCCCAGGTGGAAACTGTATCTACAAGTTTTGAACCAGATACTCTTTGGAATGAAAAGTTTAAATACTTGGCACAAAGTAAGTTTATACTAGTTTGCCTTTTAAGTTATGCTTTTGTACAAAACTAAAACAATAAATGCATCTTGTCAATTTTTATTTAAATATATCTACTGCAGCCATTTGTTCTGTATTTATGCATGTAAAAATAATTTAAATCAGCCATGATGATCTGTTATTATGTAAAGATGTGACAGGGTCACCAGTGGGGCAGCTGTCAGTTAGAAAATAGATAAATTTAAAGAAATCCAGAATCTTTGTAGCGTTAAACCCAAGAGAGACTAAGGAGAAGCTGCTGCTTCCTCCTTTGCTGCCAGCATCACCTGGGGGACTCTAGAAAAATGCTGTTTGAAAATTGAGGTGTTAGTTGCCTGGATACAGCTACCTGTGGTGCCTCGAACCCTTGGCTGGCTCTTTGTGATGTTATAAGCGATGCTGCTGCCCTGAAGAGATTAGCAAGGAGGGAGTATTGGAAAGGAAGCCTGAGCTTTGTCAAACACCCACATCTCCTGGCAACTGCTTGAAATATTCTCCCTTTGGTGTTGGAAGCCATTCCCGTTACATGTGTCCCAAGTGAAAGCCAACTGCAACAGGTGACCATGATGCTTTCGTTATGACATGCTGTGTGGCAGGGACAAGAGTCCAGATAGAGAAAGACTTGAGAAGCCTATCTGAAAGGTCTGCGTCTCCTCAGAGCCTTCCAGATGGTGTAAAGGAGATTTTCACTTAGGTAGAAAAAAAGCCAGTCAACCTGAAGTAGACTCTTTAGCTAGAGTGATGACAGCTCGTCCTAACTTAACCTGCAGCATCTCCATCAGGCAGAGTCTGGTGGGGGAGGTCCCCACAAGAATTTAGGTGAGGTGCCCATGTTTCCTGCTCTGCTGGGAGGTGGAGCCACTCATCATGAGCCAAAAGGCAGCTTGCAGGTCAGTGCATCTCTCCCGGCCAGGCTTGCAGCTGAGTGGCCTCTGTCCCCAGCACTGCAAGGTCAGGTCCACCTCTTTCCAGGTCCCAAAATCCCAGCCTAGCAGAGGTGCACTTTGCTCACCTGGTGCTGCTAGCAGTCAGTTTAACCATTACACTCCTAAATACACCAGAAAAGCTTGTAATCAGTGGAATTGCTCAGTGTGGCACCTACTGTAACAAGCAGTCACCGTTCAAGGTTCCAAGCCAGATAAGGACAGCGGTGCTTTCTCCCACAGCAGGCAGGAGAGCAGGAGACAGCCATCTGCCACCTCTGTCACACCGTCAGCAGCACCTGGCAGGGTAAGATGGGAAAGCCTTTCAACCCAAACTGTGTTCCCCACCCCTTGCCTGCTGTTTTACCTTCGTATTCATCAAATAATTGCCTTTTTTGCTTTCAAACATAATTTTCATTATCCTTGTACTGAACCTACCATAAAAATGGTTAATATGGCTTAGAGAGTATCTGGGGTGAAATCCATGTGTGCACACAGGCCTGCTGGGCACCACATGAACTCCATTTTGCAGCAGCTAACCTTGGGTCACACAGGGTACAGGGAATATATGTAATCTTCAGGGAAACTGAAAATCTAGGCAGCAGCATGCTGGCAGGACATCAGACAAAGTTTCTGGCATGAGTTAAACTGGCAGAGCACCAGAATGGTAGTTTTCTCTGTTTAAAATTATAGGAAAGAGAAGAGTTTTGTGGTTGCTTATGTATTTTTAATCCTTTAAAAAAAGGGGTGAAAAAAAAGGAAAAAAATTCTTTCTGAAGCATTCACAAGGTATCATCTGGTTTTAAAATGTAACCTCAGCAGTATTAATTGCAGATGTTTACTGACTTTCTGCACTCCTAGCTGCAGAATTTTATGGAGATACTTGAAGCACAGTGTCTCTGGACTGAGGGAATTCCTATTCACAAAAGGGGAGTCTGCAGCAGCTGTGTTTGAATAGCCAGTGTAAGTTCAATTCCCAAAGCATAAAGCAAGTTACTTCTTTTCAGCAAATGAAACTTATCTGCATTAAATTATAGAGTGTTTTTGTTTTTCCTACCACTGTTTTTATGTGGAGGGTCAATTTATTCCTGTTATTAGTAGTAGGAACTGAGCAGAAGTTTGGTCTTCAGGCCGCTCTTGGACTAGTCTAATTTTTTGCCTAAATATTTTACAGTAAAAAAGAATTTGGGAGGTTGAATTTGAAATTACTTGTTTGCTGGAGGATAAACATATGTTAGGCAAATAGTAGAGGAAAAGAACTTTATTGTAAAGCCAGTACAACCCATTTTTGTTAGCAGTGTGCAAAATTATAAAGCTGACCATCCAAACACAGAATTTTCAAATGAAAGATGGTTTATATTGTGCATCTCTTTCAAATATGCAATAAGCTTCATAGTGCTTCTGTTCAATTTTAGATTGACTAATTTTGGCACTAGACTACTACTATTTAGGGTGTTAAATGCTATGAAGTTTTTTTTTATTTAAATGCTTCTAGTATTTTAAAAAATAATTTTATGGAAAGAAAGATGTTTTTCAGGTTGAAACTTCTTTTAGGGCTTTACTTCATCGGCTTTGTTCAGAGCCATGTTATGCTGTAGGTATTTTAAGGTAAAATCATTATTTGAGAGTTCTGTTTTGTATAACTACATGATGACTTTCTGAATACTTCTTAGAAAGGCTCCTCCTGACTGTAGGTAAAAGGATGACAGTCAAAGACTCTTGTGGAACGGTTACAATCCATTGAGTATCTGTATGCATTCAAAGTGTATCTAAAAACACCACCTAAGAAGTATATGAAATAATTGGTACACTCATTGATTAATCCCCTTCTAAATCAATAATTCAAACTTTGAATTTGTTTCCTTTCAGATTACATTACAGAATAATTACAATCAAATTTAAACTAGAGAGGTATTCTAACAAATTTCTTAAAATTATGGTGAGTGCAAAAGGTAGCTAAGCTATGCTGCTCTCCTTTCTTCCATTAAAAACCTTTTGAATAATGAAACTCATCTTTTCTGTTTTGTTTCTTTTTTTAGAAGTTTCAGAAGCTTCTCATTCAGCCCCTTCTAGAATAAGCCTTGTCTACTTAGAGGGCTTTTGTTAAGCACTCAGGAGGTATATTGTTCCACTAATTTAACATACTTTTGTGCTGACATCAATGTAATTAGCTTTTAAATGTATAGGCCTACAGAACTCCACAGGACTCTGGTCTCCTTTATTCTGGGCTGCCTTCCAAAGGCCATCCTTCCTCTCCCTTTTGATTGCCTATAATCCTACAATCACCCAGAGACAATTGCTGACCACCTACGCTGATCGAAGCTGTAGTATCAGAGTAAGACTGTGGGTTTGTTTATTTTTCAAAGCAGCATCCTTCAGTCCAGAGTCGATAGGATCGACTACCAACTATAGTCGATGTTACTCTGACATCCAAATTAAGTAGTTTAAGAAAATTAGTCATAAAAGATTTTTGGAAAACAGTTGAATATGTATCTAAGGGAAAAATGTCCTTTGATTTTGGTTTTGCAAAATTAATGAGGCAGGAGATTTTTCTTGTAATATTTTATACTGCCAGAATTTGTGATCCCCCTGGGCTGCTTCAGGCTGTTGGCTAGGTGGGTGCACAGCCTGTGCAGTGAGGCAGGTGAGTGCTGATCCAGATATCACAGCAGCAGGGATTTATTACCTTAGTGAGGACTGTGCCTTCCACAGCTGGAGACTTTGTCATACAGCCCTTGAATGAGATTGTTCCAAAAGCTTGTTCCAATCACTGATGCCTGCTAGTTGCCATACCAGCAGCTCATGACGTGCTCCACTGACTATTCAACATCTTTCATTTTAAGTGAGAATTACAATTTTTATAATTAGAAATACTCATCTAGCAGTATAAGGTCAATAAAAGAAGATTTTGCTGAGACATCATATTTGATTGCTATGTTGACTGCAGCCAGACATTGGAGCTGAGTAATTTTAAAGTAGATTACTGTATAAATAAGTAAATAAATCTCTGAAGCCTCATAAATAATTCTAAGGAAGGAATGCAATTGCAGGTGCTGTAATGATAAGATAGGGCAGTTCCATGCAGCACAGAGAGCATACAAGATGCAGCCGTGGAACAGTGGTAGAGTGAAGATAAGTCTGGAGGAGTAGGGACAGAAATAGGACTGCACTTTGCAAATAGGGAGCAGGACAGTGAGCTGTGAATGATCACTGGGTATACAAAAGGGGATACCTTTTGTCTGAAAATTAGGCTATGATAATGCACCTAGGGAAAAATTACTATTCATCCTGAAGTACTTTAGTGTTACTGCAACTGCAAGACATGCTTTACCTAATTATTAGGTTTTGAAAATCTAAACTACAGAGTCAGAAAATTTACTTCTATGTGCATTTTTTCTTGTTGTAATTGGTCTGGGTTGTGGGGGTTTTTTTCTTTTAATTTGGGTTATTTTCAGGAAAATGAAGGCTTTAATTAAAGTAAGGGTGGTGTCTGGAAGTCCTCTTTACTCTTGTTAGTACAAATAATGACTGTTTATTACTATCTGCATTTGGCAAGAGAAATAACATCTGATAAGTTAAATCAATACAACCAATGGTGACATTCCTTTAAAATGTGATGGGCCAAATCCCTAATACTTAGATGTGTTGAAATGCAGATTTTTTTTTTTTTTTTTCTTAGATGCTTGGGGTTTGTGTTACGGGTTGTAAGAACCATGCATTTCCACAAAGACAGGGACTGATATGCCGTTTCTAAAGCTTACTTAAGGTAATTAAAATATTCTCAATGACCTAGTTAGTTTTAGCCAAGCTGATGCAAGTCTTGACTCCATTCACACTCTAATGACATTATCAGAAAAAATAAGAGGGTAGGAAGACTTCAGGATGGGGTTCTCTGCCTAAAAGCTGAGCTGGCTCTTTACCTAAAAGACAAGACTATTGGATGCATCAGTATAGAGTGAAAAGAAGAATTCCTTGCGAGTTTTCTTCTTCAACATGGTAACTGAGACTGTAAGAATTGATATAAACTTGAAGTCCTAAATGAGAAGACAACTAGTACATTGAACCATAATGGTTCAGTAGTTCCATACAGCAGGACATTTTTCTGCAATGAGTCTGCAACACTCAGGAGACTGCTGTTTATTATCAGCATTGCAGGGAGAGGAAGAATTCTAATAATAATAAGTACATAAATCATATTAGGAGGATGCTTTTTCTTTGCAATCTTGGAATGACACAGCCTTGAGGGCATCTGCGAATCCTGATCAGAAAGGCTGCTTTTTGTATAAGTGACTGAACATTTGTACTTGTAAGGGCTGGTACAGTATGGAAAGGGAGAACTTTAGAGAACAAGAAGGTAATGAGGGATGTGGTGTGGAATACTGCTACCCCCAAGTCAGCTGATATTCCTGCCCTGACTAGGCTACAGTTTGGTTTATTCTGCATGTCTGAAAGCGCATATAGTTTTACAAGCTTTTGTAGTGGGGATGCAGGCATCCAGAATCTAACAGGTATATAGGTGCATCTCCCTCATTTTTGACAATTACTTGATATAATTTTATAACAAGTTCTTTGTTTTTAAAGAATTTCAGGCACTGAGAATACAGAGTGCGTATTTATTTCTAAGCTTTAAGTAGAACACGGTGTATTTTTTAATCCTTTCCATACTTTTCAGTTAAGTGTTCACAAGACTGTATATCAAATACAATACCAAGTTTTTCTATCTTTCTACAAGCTAATTTAAGTTTCATCTGAATTTGGTATATGTCTTTCACGAAACACTAAATGGGGAATATGTGCTTCAAGCATTAAGATGGTCTATGTCCTTTTCTCCATTTACATTGCATTACATTTCACTTTTTTTCTTTGAGGCAGAGAGAACAGTTAGAAAATGTGTCGAGTGTGTTACAGGGGCACACAATGTGTTTCATTGTGCCTGGCTTCAAGGAATGTACTATAATGTTTGACTGCTCACAGATTTACATAATTTGAATACAGGACTGTTGTGTTGTATTTCCTGTTACTCAACAACATTTGGGGAAAAGATTTTTCTGTGTATAATTTTATTTTCATACTGATCTCTATTTTGTTTAAGACCATGTTTCATCATGAAATCACTTAATTAAAATAAATCTTCTTACAAAATCCACTTTGGAAATAACTTCTTTTATTGTGCCTCTGAATATACTGTAACATCATTTTTTAAATTAGTACCTTTATCTCTAGATCATTCTATGCCCTTTGCAGCATTTCAAAACGTTTAGAAGAACCACAAGATACTCTTTGTGACATCACCTTTTCTAAGTCCTG